TCCCCCCCCTCCCTCCCTCATGATCAAGCTGGGATGATCTTTCAGTTTCACAAGATGGTTGAGTAATCGATGATCCCCGTTCTGGTTCTTGGTGTCAAGTGAGATTTATTTCCAAGATTTTCTAAGATGATCCGAAGGTTTGTAGCCTTATCAGGTGTTTGAGAGTGATCCTTCAGGTCATCCCAACTCTTCTCTTCATAATACTATTTTGATTTCACAAACTTCACTTCTCTTGAAACAATTTTTTTTTTGAAGCAACAGGTCATAACACTTGTAGCCTTTTTGAGTTGTTGAGTATCCAATGAACATTGCTTTTGAACTCTTTGCCTCAAGCTTGTTTTTCTGTTCTCTGGTATCAAAACATAGCAAAGATACCCAAACACACGTAAATGATCTAAGGATAGCTTACTTTTATTTAATACCTCAAATGGAGAAATGTCACTGAAAATCCTGATGGGAATCCGATTGATGAGACAACAAGCTGAGATAACATCATCACTCCAGAATCTCTTTGGAAAATTTGTGTGAAACATCATGAACCTTGCAACCTCCATCAGGTGCATATTTTTCCTTTCAACAACACCATTCCGTTGTGGAGTATATGGACACAGTGGCGGACCCAGCCAGAAATATTTGTGGGGTCATTAACTGTGTAAATTTTTAAAAAGCAAAATAAAAAGTCAGAGGGTGGAATGTAAATTTTAAAAAAGCAAAATAAAAAGTCAGAGGGTGGAATCGAACCCTTTATTTGTGGGTTCAATAACACTCTTTCCTACCACTGCACCACAGTTCATTAGTACACAATTGCCTATAAACTGAAATTTATAGGATTTTTGTGGTGTCAGTTGACCCCACACCCTCTCAAGTGGGTCCGCCCCTGTATGGACAACTGGTTTGATGAATGATTCCTTGCTGAGCCAAATGTTCCTTGAACGCATTGTGTACTCTCCTCCATTATTTGATCTAAACATTTTGAGCTTGGCCTTGAAATGGTTATCAGTGTAAGTCTGGGGATTTCTAAATGCCTCAAGAACCCTATCTTTAGACTTAAGCAAAGTTATCCAAGTATATTTTGATTTTTCATCAATGAAGGTGACATAATATTTCTGATTTTCTCTAGACCCACAAAGAGCAGTACAAACATCAGAATGAACAAGGTCAAAGTAATTTTCATAGATTGTTTTTGGAAAGGAAATTTTGCAATATTTTCCTAAAATGCAAGCTTCGCAATCATCATTTTTTACAGAAACATCAGGAAACATTAAGTTCAATACTCTAACATAAAGATGACCAAGTCTATCATGCCACAAAGTTTCTTTATTTAAAACAGAAGCATAATTTACAACATAAGTACGCTTAGAAAGAGATTTAGTTTCTTCAATCAAATACAAGTCTTCTTTTGCAACTCCTTCTCCAATTAATCAACTTACTGCTTTTAATATCTTGAAACTTAACCTCATCAGGACGGAAAATACCATTGCAATTCAAATCAGTAGTAACTTTTTTGCAGATAAAAGATTTGATGTGAAATTAGGCATGTACAAAGCTCTCGATTCTTTATCAAATAATTTCAGTTTTCTGCTCCTTTAATTGGTATTCTATCACCATTTGCAACGATTACGTTTCAAGCAGCATGTTCAATATTCTTAATTAATCTAGTGTCACTTATCATGTGATGAGATTCACTGGAATCAATAATTAAGGGTTTAGACTTGTTTATTGCAGTAAGGAAGAAACCAAAAGTATTACTAGAGTTTTCTTCAGAGCTTTAGAGAGCATTAACCTCAAGACCTCCTGATCATCTCGTCTTCAGTACTCGTCAAGGCAAAATATTGGCCAGCTTTCTCAAAAACATCAACCGACATATGAGCTCTAGCTTTTCTGTCTTTAAACTTGTTTGGCTTGAGATGTGGATGAAGAATCCAACATTTATCTTTGACATGTCTCTTTTTCTTGCAGTGGTCACAGATCCAAACCTTCGTTTCCTCTTGTTTGTATGCCACTTTGTTAGACTGGAATCCCTCAGCCTTATTTACTACAGTAACGTCCCCTCTTCCACCAAACACACCTAGGGACCCTTTCTCCTTTTGAATCTGAGCACAAACATCTTTAAGCAAAGGAAGTTTCTCAGATCTCAATATATGCTTGATATGATTATTGTAGGTTGGATTGAAGGTTAGGAGAAGCTCAAACACCTTGTCTTCTCATGCCTTTCATTGAGAATGTCAGGATCAGTAGAACTTGGTCTCAGCATCTCAAGTTCAGCCCAAAGAGATTTGAACTTTCCAAAATGTTTAGTGAACTCCATATCCTCTTGAGGTGGGTGTTGATAGACTTCTTAACTTTAAACACACGACTGGGATTAGATATATTCCCGTACGCCTTCTGAAGTGTATCCCATAGATCTATGGTAGTCTCACAATAGAAGTAAGCCTCCAAAATAGATGGAAATATTAATTTTGGATGATGGAGAGAACCATCAGATCGTCTTGAATCCATTTGTTTTCATCAACAACAACAATTTGTTGATCGCCTTGCTGAACAGTCTGTTGCGGAGCTTCACACTTCGTGACATGACTCTACAAACCACGACCTCCTAGTGCTGTTTTGATCATCCTAGACTACAACAAATAATTGACTCCCTTGAGAGTAACCGGAATTAATAAAGCCTTGTTTCTTTCCATTATAGAGAAATTCAGAAACAGAGTTTTGTGGAAGAAATAGAGAATTAGAAATAGAGTTTAGAAACGTACAAAGATTTGATACCATGTGAGATTTTTAACAGAATAAGAGAATCAACTTGGAAGATTAGTGTAAAATAAAAGAAAAGAATAGAAGAGAGAAGAATAATTAGCATTGCTTTATTATTCAGAACTAATTACATATTTATACAACATACAAGAAGAGCCTATAAACTCAAATACTGAACATACACAAAACAAACAATAAATGCTCGACATGCAGAAGTTTTTACTTCCCAAAACTTGTTTATTAATTTATATATTTAACAAATTCTCCATGAAATACAAAATTATAAATGCTATATTTCCAAATCCCAGCACTATTTGAAAATATACAATATAATCAGGATGACACAAAAAGCAAGCCAGCCAATGCATATAGGTTTAGAGGACATATTTTATTGGATTTTTCCAAATTGATAATTTTGTTAGTATATATAATTATAATTTTTAATTGTATTAATAGTAATAATAATAATATTTGTAAATATATTAATCATATATATTTTAAAATAATGATTCTTTTAAAAATAATAATTCTTAAAATGTGAAATTGCGTATTAACAAATAGTTTTATTAAGATTATGATTGATTATAGTGAAATTTTTATGATAACATTGATTAATATTGCTATGCATTTAACTTGATAAAACTATGTTTACTAATCACTAATGGAATTGAAATAGTTTATAAAAATTTTATCTGATTTATATATATATATATATATATATATATATATATATATATATATGTATGTGTGTGTGTATGTGTGTGTGTGTGTGTGTGTGTGTGTGTAATCTATTATATTAAAAGAGAAGTTAGGAATCATTTCATGTGTGATTTTTTTATTTGGACTATTACTAAAAAAATTACTTAATATATTTCATTTCTTTGTAACCACTTTAATCATAATATCTTTTAATATCTTTTTATTTGAAATTTAAATATATATTAATTCTTTTAACAAATCTGTTAAAAATATTTTAGTAAGATCTTAACTTTAAAAACATTATATAAATATTTCACTAATATTAACTAATAATGAAATATAATTATACATATATATATATATATTCAGTTATCTCTTACAAAATGAAAAAAAATACTATTTTTAATCTATTTTATAATCATAATCTATTCTATTAAATGAAATTATTATATTAATAAATATTTTTAAAATATATTAAATTGATAAATTAATCAATTTTATTTTCATAAATAGAAAATAATTATGGTAAAAATATATAATATGTTTGCAGAACGGATTAACATTAGTAACTATATAATACATGTATAAAATTAAGATAATATCAATCTCTTATAATAGCATATTATCTATATAAACATAAAACGTTTGCTAAACAGTAATCTAGATTTGAAGGATGAGTCAGAATTTACCATTAATTAAATATAAAATAATTTTAAAATATGTTTTCTTATGTATATATTAGTTTTCTTAATAACTAAATGCAAATACAATAAAATAAATATATAATTAATATAACATGTAAATTATAAAATTATTGTATTTGAAATAGTTATATAAATATTTAAGTATATGACTAACGTTAAAAATATATACTACTTATGGTTTAAAAAAAATATTTATGTATATAAAAGTGAAAATAAACACATGCGCGGTTGCGTGAGTCAAAATTTAGTATTTGTTAAAACGTAAAAGACATGATGCTTATATTAGATAAATCTGTTTGTGTTCAAACTATTCGTTTGGATGAGCTAAGTTGTGGTTTTGGTTTAGTTGTCTTTTCTTTTTACTTTTTGCATTTTTTATTCCACGTATTTCTGTATTTTAAACCAAAATTATTTAATATAAAAATTAAAAAACAAAAAAAAAATTGCTTAGCGTATCCAAAAATGTTAGACCGCAGTGAATATAATCTGCCTATTTTTTTTTTCATCACGTTAATCGGACTAACGTAAGGAACTCGAGGTAGATACGCGCTCGTTAGGGTACACTGTAAGTGAAATCCATTTAATATATTTTTAGCACGTGAAAAGCAATGAGGGATTTTAATTAGTAACCACAAGGACTTGTATGATTTTCTCAACTATAAACTTACAATAAGTAACTAAAAATATGTTGACAAAAGAAAAAGAAAAAACTAAAAATAATGATCTCAATTATTACAGGCACTATAAATACGTAGCCTCGCTCTATCTTGCATGACTCACAAATCGATCAAAATCACTTCTTTCTTCTTTATCAGCAAACTCTGCTCTTCTTTTCATATAGTGATAATGTCCCAAACCGATATGAAAGTTTGTAGTAACTATTTTCTGGTCGATCCGACCAAAGCAAGTGTTCTTGATCTCCTTCTCCTTTTGTTTTTCCCCAGCCTGGCCAATACAGGATTCATAGATTCTCCACCGGACACACTCAAAAGCGTCCAGACAACTTTCGCAAGTCGATGGATCATTGTGTTAGCCGTTTTGGTTCAAAAGATATTAATGCTCTTAAGAAAACCCTTTGCATCGGTAGGTCGTTTCCTCACCTATTGGCCTAATCTTCTTACGGCAAATGGAGGCTTCTTCAAGTTGATACTTCATCTTTTGACAGGTAACAAATCTAACAATAACATACTTCTATTCACTATCTCCACTTATTACTACAACACAAATTCTTGATACTTACGAAAATTTTAACCTCTCAAGGAGAATATATCATGTACTCCCATATATTAACACTCCCCTTGGACTATTGGACTTGACCAATGATACTTATCAGTTATCATACCTTAAACGGACTTGTGACAGAACGAGGATTACTGTACATGTAGACGTCAAGACGCAGTACTAGCGCACATATTGAAATAAAGTAACTAATGATATTGCATCAAGAGTTTAGTTTTTTTTTAATATATGAAATGAATTAATCGTCTAATTATTAAAGAACTTGATAGAATTTATAAGAAAATTCGTCCACTTATTTTTTTTCTTGTGGATGGTGTTGAGAAAATACTTTTACAGGAATAACCCAAAAACTTTGTTACAGGAAAGTTGGTAAAGCCTGAGGAATCTTCGGCCACATATGTGTCGTTTGTAGGATGCACAGATCGAAGAGTAGAGCTTGACAAGAAGATAAGTGTTGGTACCATCGACTACAAGTCGATGTTGTCAATAATGGCTTCTAAAGTCTCTTATGAGAACAAATCTTTCATCACTTCTGTAGTCAAGAACACTTGGGAGGTCAAATTCATCTTCCTTTCTCTTTTTTTTTTTTGTTTGGGCAGAGACCTCCTCAGTCCTCACTGTTTTTCATCCACAAACTTCATCATCATCATCATCATCATCATCATCATCATCATCATCATCATCATCATCATCATCATCATCATCATCATCATCATCATCATCTTCTTCTTCTTCTTCTTATCGTTTTTCCTCTCTCGATTAATTATATCGTATATATAAGTCTAATGAACAAATAATTCTGTTTATTGCTGGTAAAAAAATAAAGTTAAATGATCTAATTAACCTTTTGAATGATAGCTTTTATCGTGTACTATATCTTTGGGGTCCAAGCTGCTAATAATAATTTAATAATAAATGCAAATACTATATTAGATGACGAAATCTCATATAAGTAGTAGTGTAGTACTACTGATTTCGTGACTTTTTTTTATATATAACATATGTTTATTGTAATTCTCACACTCTCAGTCTAACTATATCTTTCATGTGATGCAGATGGACTTCGTGAGTTACTACGACTTTTATAACGGTAAATTAAACTATACGCTTTGCTCTCTTGGGAATGTTTTTTCTTTCCCACTTTAAAGATTTAGAGTATAAATGATATAGAAGATCAATACAGAAAGTCATAAATAGATCCCCAAAAGTCATAAAGCATTTAAAAGATCAATATAGAAAACATAACGTGGAAATATATAGATGTGTATACGGAGGACATAAAGCATAAAGTCGATAGTAAGAAAAATGGGGTTTCCGAAATAAGCTAAATAAAATCAATTCCTTCATTTTTAGAATACAAAAACGGTTATGTGAGTTCATGAATGATGATATAAAGAGTCAACTCGATCATTGACTAAAACAAGGGAACCTACTGATTTTACTTAAAGGTGTCGTCTGCGAATCTATAATTGAAGCGTATTCTCATGCCTAAAAGAGTAGAAAATGTAAAGTATATACGGTATATTTCCAAACCAAATTTGACAAATATAATCCATAAGTTTAGCATCTACTCTATTTTAATAGAGTCCTTTTTATCTACTAATATAAGTTGTCATTTAAATTTATATTATTTCTAGAGTGTTATAAATAATACAAGTCATATAGTTAATTGAACCGCATTACTTAAATTAAACCGGTGGTTATTTATGAGATATAGTCTTGGACTTACTTTTGTTTTTAGTACAAACTATAAGGTTTGGTTTTTGAGCTTAGTATTAAGCAAAAATTCCACAAAACATTGAATAAATTTTCCACCTTAATGGATCAAAAAATCAATTATTATTGTTAGGCACAAAGGTATTTAATATAAAAAACAAAATTATCTATTATTAATCATTTATTTAAATCATGTATTTTAAAACATGTTAATGTATTTTTATTTTAAATAACAATCACTTTTTTTTTTTATAAATTTCAATAGTAACTTTTAAATAATTTATTGTTTTACTTTGCTTAAATAATTTACTAATTTAAAAAAATAAATGTAAAGCAAAACCAAAAACCAAATCTAAAAACTAAAATTCAAAATCAAAAGTTGAAAACACAGGTTATATTTTTGGCTTTTGTTTATTTACAAAATAAATTATTGCAATTTTTTTTAAATTTTTTTGTCATCTTTTCAGTTCTAAATTAGATGTTTGATTATTTGTTTGTAATATCAGTTCAAACTAACTCAGCGGATCTAAAAATTAAAAACCTAAACCAAAAGCTGAAATTCAAAAATAGAAACTTAAAAACTAAAGACCAAAATTTAAAAATAAAAAATGAAACTAAAAACTAATGAAAAACAATCATCATCACAAATTTTGGTGAATTGATTTTATACCAAAACATTCTTTAAATTAAGACAAAACCTAATTATATAAAAATTTTAATCATAAAAAATTTTCGCGCTTGAGAAGCGCAGATCAAGATCTAGTTATAATATAAAGCCGTAAAAACAGTTTAATGCAAAATGGACTAAACATCATTTTTGGAGTTCATTCAAAGTTCTGGCATAAGTATATTATTATATTAAAGAGTTTATGTGGATGAGTTTTTCCAAAATCTATGAAATATTTCAATTCTTAGCAAGAAAATTAAACTTTTTAATATAACTTAGATGTGGAATATTATATATATATATATATATATATATATATATTGTATGTATATTTAGCGAAACACGAATGTGTACGCCATGGCAATAATAATACAAATTATTAGAAAATATACATGCTCAGTAAGACAGTACAATGCAGGTTAATTTTGTTATACAATAAGTTCATATATGTTTTTGTAAATTTTTTAAATATCTGTAATTCTGTATGCCAACTTCCAACTATTTCAGTATGATTGTTGCAGTTTTTAATCAACTGTTTTAATCATATAGTTTATATATTTAAGACCAGAAATATATGTGATGAGAATAAGTAATATGTTAGAAGTGAAGGTATGATCAGTATGATTTCAGAAAAAGAAAAAGAAAAAGAAAAAAGATATATAGTATCAGTAGATCGATATATTGAAAAGAATAGTATATCATCATTATGTATTAAAACAAAAATCTTTACTTAAACAACGAAACACAGTTGACAATAGTGAAGATCTTATATTTTGCGTATAATTTTTAATTCCAAAATTCCTGTTTAATAAATACCACAAAAGTAACCATATGGTCGTAGTCTAGTCGTCGTCTAGTGGTTGAGTTACACTTACATGGGTTGAATGATTTTGTGTTGTGGATTAAGGTTCGTAATTAGGTTGGCGTTTGATAATAAAAGCATCCTCATCGAAGTATTTCACAACGTTCTTGACTATAATAAAATAACAAATGTTATAAATTATCACAAAGCGTATTTCAAAATTATGAAATGTTTTACCAAAAATACTTTAGTAAACAATCTTCATGTTGACAACTTCCTATTAGAATGGCTCTAATCTATCATCTCGGTTTAGTTTCGGGTTCGATTTAAGTTCGGTTTGGTTTGGATAATTTGAGGTTTATAAAATTTAATCCAATTAAAACCAAAGTAACTTTAGTTTGGGTTTGGTTTAGGTTTAGTTTGGTCCGGTTTTGTTTGGTTTGATTTAGATTTAGTTCGACTTACATGATTATGGTTTAGTTTGGTTCGGTGTAGTTTGGATTGGTTATAAAATATGATTTGCATCAGTTTTCTAAAAAATAATCAACTTATAAAAGATAGATTGGGAATATAAACTTTCCTAGCTAAAAAAATCCATTATCAAAAGTCAAAATAATGTATAAAAAAACTAAAAATACCAAATATGGTCTAAAAATACCAAATATAGGATTATTAGAGAATATATATAATAGTATTATTTGAATCATATCTAAATTTTTTGTAAAACGACATCGAAGTTAAAAGAAAATGGACAACTAAACTTTAACTAAAACTTACAATATATATATATATATATCGGTTTGGTTCGGTTTAAACTCAAACCAAACCAAACCATTCAGGTTGAGTAAAACATGAACTAATTGGATTATGTAAAGAGTTTGGTTTGATTTGGGTCGGTTTAACTTTGATTGGGTTGGTTCGGTTTGATTTGGTTTGGGTTTTTTATCCACCCTGATTATGGCTATAAGAAATAACATCAAATTATTACTCTTACAACATTAAGTTCCTATTTCCAAAATTAGCAAATTTGATTTCCTTTTCTTGTTTCTATTAAAAATATTATTTTAAATATTACTTATGTAAGCCTTTATATAATTTGAAAACACATCGAAAAACCACCTGAATAATCGCTTAATTCTTAGTTTTTATTTACGTGCTCAGCATTCCAAAAAAGAAACCTGACTCAAGCCTTCCTGTTCAAGGCATCGAGTACAAATCCAAATCTTATCGTCGTTAGCTTCAGAGGAACCGAGCCATTCGACGTTGATGATTGGTGCACTGATCTCGACATCTCTTGGTACGTATATATGTTCTATATACCTACATTTCTAGAATCAACATAATTACTCGATATATCAGTTTCTTACAATTTTTAATTATAAATTAGGTACGAGATGAAAAACGTTGGCAAAGTTCACGCAGGCTTCTCAAGAGCTCTAGGCCTCCAAAAAAACGGATGGCCCAAAGAAATTATACCTCTAGGACACCAATATGCTTACTACACAATTAGACAGAAGCTTAGGCACATGTTTGCAAAAAACAAGAACCTTAAGTTTATCCTAACGGGTCACAGCCTTGGTGGCGCACTAGCCGCTCTTTTTCCGGCAGTACTGGCGATTCACGGTGAGGATGAGCTGCTAGATAAATTAGAGGGAGTTTACACATTTGGACAGCCACGCATCGGGGATGAGGTGTTTGGGGAGTTTATGAAAGATGTGGTGAGAAAGCATGGAATAGAGTATGAGAGGTTTGTTTATAACAACGATATTGTGCCTAGAATACCCTTTGATGACAAGGTTTTATTCTCGTTCAAGCACTACGGTTCTTGCAATTACTTCAATAGTCTCTACAAAGGACAGGTAAAATAAAGCATCACGTGTCCAATTATTTGTTTTGCCTGCTAAATTATTATTATTATTATTTTTTGTCAAAGGCTTACTAAATTATTTTAAAATGACAAAAAACAACAGAATAGAAGTTTTTTTTTGAAGTATGAAAGAAGGAACTTTTAATTTGGACTTTGAAGATGATTATCATTTTTTCACGTGAAATTGGCTTGATAGATGATAAACCTATATGTGACCCCGTAAAAGGGTATAATCTATATTTTGAATTCGTTTTGTGATTTTAACGTTGACCCATAAGCATTTCTAAACCCTAAATCTAAGACATTGTATCTCTTTACTTTTAAACGAATTACCCTACTTCTGTTAGTTTAGACAATTTTAAGCATTTTTCTTAGTTGTCGTTTTAAAGGTAAGGGAGGATGCACCAAATGCGAACTACTTCAGCTTGTTGTGGCTAATACCGAAGCTATTAAATGGTGCGTGGGAGTTCATAAGAAGTTTCATAATGCAGTTTTGGAAAGGCAGAGACTACAGAGAAAATTGGATTATGAGGTTTATAAGGGTTTTCGGAATAATATTCCCAGGTGCCTCTAATCATCTCCCATATGATTACGTCAACTCCACACGCTTGGGAGGCTTGGTTCGACCCATTTCTGCCACTACTCCAGAGGATAAACTAGCCCTTATTGCTTAGAACTAAAGCCACTATAAATTTGTAATAATCGTGTCTACATTATGTGATCTTGTTGGGTTGAATAAGTTGTACTGGAGCATTTACTTTCTGTTATATGTGTGACTTTTAAGTGTTATAATAATGTTGGTAAGATTATTTCCACACAAATGGTTGTCTTACCTTTCAAGATAACAATTTTCTAAAATCTTAAATAGGACCCCTTATAAAAAAATTGAAAAATGCTTGCACCTGAAAATGACGAGATTAATAGGAAGTTAACATGAAGACGGGAAAAAAACTGTTGAAAGTTATACCTTTGTTTCCTTCGAAGTTTTTTCGTCTAATCTTTTGTAATCCTATTGAAAGACAGTTTGATACATTATCCAATATTAAGCTGACATTTATCATAATAAAAAACTGATAGTTATCACGACTCAGGAGACAAAGCTCAAATAAACTAAGAAGACACGAAACAAAAACAAAAATATAAAACTATTTACATAGCCCAGAAAGAGAGAAACACAATGGCCCATCACCATCAACCGAAACCCATTGGAAAGTCCAATCAGAAACTGTACAAGACAAACAACCAACGACTAACTCTGCAATCAATTGAGGACAAAGGAGCTGCTCTATTAGTACAGCAAAAGAAGATCCTAACTGTTGCTAGCTATTGATGTCACAGCTGGCTAAACTCTAGATCTTTCCTTATTGTTTTTAAATATGATGTAATGAACTCTGATAATGTCAAGCAATAAGAGAATTAATATTCAGTCTTATATTCAATTGTTATGATGGTGATGAATGATAAACTATATTGAAGCTTAAGCCAAGTCGAGATGACAATTGGGTTATATAACGTTGAATTAACGTTTGGTTAATTATAACTTAATGGTATAAGATTATTAAACTGATTATCAGTGGTAACAAACCCTGCTTAATATAAAAGCAGAGTTCGTGTGTTGTACATGTTGGAGATTGTATTAGGATTACAAACTTTAGATCACAGCCGTCTTGTGATTTTGGAGAGTTAATGATTTGCCTTATTAGTCCCCAGAGACGTAACCACATCGGTGAAATCTGGGTAATCAATTCTTTAATGTGTGTTTCTGTTTTTATGTTTCCGTTCTTGTTCCATCGCTTCCATATTCATAATTCTGAGTGTTCCGTGAGACTTTCGTGTTCAGTGCAACAATAGATTTAAGGTTGAACAATATCATAGTTTATGTCTAACGCTTAAACAATAACAAGTGGTATTAGAGCTCAAGGTTTCCGAGTTTGAGGCTGATAAATCAATGGCGAACGCACAGATCGAGGTTGAGACATTCGATGGCAACGGAGATTACTCCTTGTGGAAGAAGCGTATGCTTGCTCATGTTTCAGTCTTGGGGTTGAAGGATGTATTGTTGGAGAAAACATAAATTCCAAAGTCTGTGATTAAGAAAGACGAGGATGAAGATGTGTCCAACGAAAGATTACAGTGAGAAGAGTCTGGAGAGGTTGCAAAGATCTGAAAAACGATGAATCTTATCATCCTTAACGTTGGCAATCACGTACTGTGGAAGATCAAGGCGTGTACTAACGCTGCATTGACTTGGTCAACATTATAAAGGTTGTGTCTCTCTAAATCCTTACCTAATAAGATACACCTGCAGCATAAATTATATACGTTTAAGATGAAGGAATCTTAGACGATAGATGATAATATTGATGATTTCTTGAAGATAGTTTCAAATCTTTCAAGTGTGAATGTGCAGGTATCTGAGGGAGTTCAGGCTATTCTCCTGATGGAATCACTTCCAAGTTAGTACAGTTACTTGAAGGAAACACTTAAGTATGGAAGGGAAACATTATCCTTTGAGAAAATCACGAGTGCTGCTAGATCAAAGGAGCTAGAAATCAAGAGTCAAAAAATATTATGGATCTGATTTGTTGTAGAGAAACGCTGAAGGTTACTTTTCTCATGGCAGAACTGATAAGAGAGATAGATTTGAAGTAGCAGTGGAGAAAGGGTAAAGGAAGATCGAGAGCTGACTTAGGTTCTAGACTCACGTGCTTGTACTGTAAGAAAGATTTGCATGTGAAGAAGGATTGCTATGCTCGCTAGAAGAAGTATGGTTATGATGAACTTGGAGAAGCTTCTATTGTAGTGGATCAAAAGGATGGTGCTTTGTCTGTATCTGAAAATAGGCACACGAATGAATAGATTCTCGATTCAAGTTGTTCCTATCACATGACATCATGAAGAGATTGAATTGATCAGTTTCAGGAGCAAAATTCTGGACAGGTGTTGTTGGAATATGACAATGCTGTAGCAGTTAAGGGAATAAGGACGATAAATGTAAATACCTATGGAGAAACTGTTATGGTTCTCACAAATGTGAGGTATTCTCCGAAGCTCAAAAGGAACTTAATCTCTACTGGTACTTTGGATATGCTTGGTTTTAAGCACTCAGGTGGAGAAGGGAAAACCAGATTCTATAAAAATGGAAAGCTGGCGCTTCAGGTACCTTGACAGGCTTACTTTACTTGCTCGATGGTGCGATGGTTTCAGGGCAAGTGAATAGTGTTGGACCCAATTTCGGCATCTATCTGAACAGGCCCAAGCCCATCTGGAGTAATCACTAACTCGACATCGAGCCGGACTTGACGAGGTCAAAGACGAGATTCTGGAGATCGAGGAGACGGTTAAAGGACGAAGGGACTATTAAAAGAGAGCTAGGATGACATTCAAGGCACACGAGAAAAACCCTAGATCTATTTACTAATCACATCGACCTCATTCCTTAAATTTCTAATTCGCTTTCTTGTATTCGTTGTTGTTATTTCCGATCTTGTTCATCACCTTGTAAACGAATTCTACATTCAATAAAAGTCTATTTTTGTCAACCGAAGTCCAATTATACCGTTGTGTTTAAGAGCATCGTTGCTCACATCCTTTTTCATCCCCTGACTTAACTCTCGATCTCTACAAAATATTGTGGATTTTAGGATCTATATTTTGGCGCCGACTGTGGGGAAGATAAACGAAAACCGCCCTTGCTAAGAACCCGATCTAGGATTTCTAAGCACGATTATGGATCCCAACGCGAACAACCCCGACAACGTCCAATCTGGATCTATCGACACCGCTCCCACCGGAAATCCTTTGGGAGCCGCCCTGACGTCTGTTGATCAAATAAACGTCACTCCAACCGGAAACCCTCTGGGAACCGCTCTGGTACCCATTGACCGGGTAAACGTCACCGAGACCCCCAATGTGACCCAAAGTTAATACACTTCACCGATCAGAACTTCGATCACCGAGAGGAACGCTTTCTCAGACCGAAATCCTCCTAATGATCGAACCGGATCTCGAGTCTGGAACCGTGTAATGGACAGAGTAGTTCCCGATGATCCAACCAGAGAAATGATACCGAGATCCCTAACTCAGTTAGCTCGAACTCTAGACGAGATGGCAGAAATGAGAACAATGCTCGTCACACTCATCGAAAGATCTCACGAACAAGAAATCGTTCATCAAACCATTACCAATCGCCTAGAACAAACTGAGAGAGAACTCGCTGAGAGCCGAAAAAATCCAAGGGAAAGAATCCGACAACACTCGGATCCAACCCTCCAAACGCCACTACCACGTAACCGTGGAACCTTCGCCTCCCCCGAAGCGGTCAGCACCTGATCTGGCTGTTATGCCGAAGAAAGCTCACAGAAGGCCAACCCGAAGGAACGATCTATCGAAGTCTAGACTACGATGGTCAATGTGAGGTCGAAAATGGAATACGGGGTATCAGAACGACTCCGATCTCACCTCGGAATACGCCGAAAGAAACGACCCCACTGCAATATCAAACTCGAGATGAATGATTCTCGTTCGGGGGTGACAAATTCCAGCAAACGGGACCCACAGTCCATCCAGACCCCATCTCGCCATACGACCCACTCAGACCGATGCACGAGAACCTGCAAGAGGACGACCAAAGGTCCCTAAACCAAGCAGGAGCATTCAAAAGTTACGTGGAAAAGAACGACGCCGAGCTCAAAAGGAAACACACCATCGTACACCTAGCGACAAGCTTGGCCCCTGATATCAATCAGATCATCGAGGAGACCCGCCGAACTCCATTTAAAAATTGAATAACCAGTGTAAGGTTACACGATGTCGGAAAATTCCCCCAATACTCGGGAAACTCCGATCCAAAAGCACACATACGAGCCTTCCGTTTAGCCATATCAAGAGCGCATCTCAACGACAAGGAAAGAGAAGCGCGCTACTGCTGTTTCTTTGCTGAGAACCTTATGGGTCGCACCCTAGAATGGTTCGCCGGGCTTGAAGGAAATTCGATCGATGACTTCACCCTACTCGTATCAGCATTCCTGAAGCAGTATTCAGTGTTTATTGAGACCCGTGCCACCGAAGCAGACCTATGGAACCTCAAACAAGCGCCCTTCGAACCGCTAAGGAACTACATAAATAAGTCCAAAGAACTGAAATCCAAGATATCGAGTATGAACGAAGTTGTTGCGCTGGTAGCTCTGAAAAACGGAGTCTGTTTTCTTCCAAGTTTAGAGAAGAAATGATGGTCCAAGCTCCCACATCACTCGACGACGCGTTGTATCGCGCATCATACTTCGCAACCCTCGAAGAGGAGATATCGGCTTTAAAAGAACAATACCACACCTACAAATGAGTAATTAAAAAGCTCAGTACTCCAAAAGAGCAAACCACCAAAGAACAGCATTTCTACGCCATAGATTCATCGTCGCAAAACAAACAGTCGACATTCGACCCGAGCAAATACTGATCATTCCACAAATGAAAAGGGCATTCAACCGAGGAATGTCATGCCGCACTCCGCTGTAAGAAAGAAAACAAAGAAGGCGGAGAGAACACAGAAGAAGAAGAGACCCCAACAACCCCAAAAGCAAAGAACAACGGTAAAAGAAGTAGATAAATCGGACCAGCAGCGCCAAAATCACCACCTCCCGCCCCAAAGAAAAGAGTGGACATGATCTTGTGGGGGTCCAAACATAAAAAAGCATCATAGCGGATCGAATAGCTCGTAAACATCAACATCATGATGATGATACGAGGCCCAATGGATGTCGATACGACATGTTCTCCTCCCCTCAGACGAATAACCAATGCCCAC